AAAAAGAACAATTCCAATGGAGTTTTGAAGGAAGTTCGGCCAGTTTTGTCATTTAAATAAGCCGTTCTGAATAAAAAGTAGATTGATCGCCACGCATTACAAGATTACAGACAGCCGAAGCAATGCTCAGATTGTATGCTGAAATGTGCGAAGTTCTAACGAGAATTCGCTCCAATAAATAATCATTAATTTACCGACTTGGATGAAGAAAAAATAAATAGCATTTCTAAACGAATTTCTATAAGATATTTGCTTAGTTCACAGTGTAAATAAATAGTTTCATTTGAAGTAGGAGCCGTGACCCTTGAAGGTCAAGATAAATAGTAATGTAAATCAACTTCTTCTTTGTTGATTGTCCCGATTGTATCATAAACGGCCGATTATCTTGTATATCCAGTTTTGAGCTCGTAGGTCGAATGATTCCTGGAATAAAACACACAGCCCGCGTTTGAAATTGAAAGCAGAGAAAGTGTTTTCAAATAGATCTTCTTCCAATTATACTCTATACTTGACTCAGTTGACTCTATCGAAGTCGTAGTCGAAGTCGTCTTTCGTATTAATTGAAGTTCAGACAATTTTCAATTCCAAACTCAACAAACTAGCGAAGAACTAGATGTTAAAAGGAAAATAATAAAGACGATTACTCATCTTACTAGGTAAATTGAGCATTCAAGATATTAAATAGAGCGAAATATTTAGAATCCTTTGAGAATGTCAACAATGTTTTCACCAATCTTCGAAAAGTGCAACAAGTATCCACGAGTTTCGCCAAAGGGCGTTTGATTCTTTTCATTTTTGAAGTCAGCATAAAGGTGGCTCCACTGGGTTTTATCTGCGCGATACCATCACAAAGTTTTAAAGTACAAAAAATTTGCAAAAACCAAAACATGTTAGTAACTTTGTGGAAAAGTAGTATTTCCTCAGTTTTGAGTTCCTAATTTTATCTAAAGAAGTTGGTAAATCACTTTGGAATATTGGGTAAAAATTGTATAGAAATCGTACCACTTGATATTTCAAAACATTAGGTCGACTTAAATTGGCTATGAGCCGTATTTTTGGACTATTGTGTTAATGCATGTTAATTAACATGCTCATAAATTCTACTTGATTTTTTTTTTTTTTTTGAATTTCAAAACTTCAATATGAAATTTCTCAAAAATGCTCATACCGATTTTCTTCAAATTTTCTGTACTTTGAGCAAATGACTTATCCTCCAATACTATACCTATAGATAAGCTTAATTTATTTTAATGCTGGAGAAAATATAGCATGAAGAGCATATTACAACAAATATTTGTCCTTTATTTACCTTTGTAATTCTTTATCAATTTGGTTGTTTTTATCCAACTATCATATGTTTTTCGTTCAAGAAAAATGCAGCTTGTTCGCCTCCTGTTGCGGGTCCCATCGGCAAGCTAAAGAAAACTTTCATTCAATAATTTTATAGCTTTCTACCTGTAGATAATGTATTTAAATAATGAATGAAATATGAAATTACATCAGATATTTCAATTGTTTATTAAGCTGTTCGAGCTAGTATGATCATACAAATGAGCTTACATTTGTGTTGTTGAGAGATGTTATTGTATAAAGACCTTGTCTTTCACTTTAAAAAGCTAAAAAATATTCAAAAATATTAATTACAACCAATTTACTGACAAAGAAATTAGTCATTTTGCATTATTTTATATTTTGTCTCAGTTGTTCTTGTCAAGTTTAATAACTGAGTGTAAACTTTGTTTTTCGAAAACTTTTGTCATTTGTGATTTTCGTATCTCACACATGAAAATAGATGAAAACTGGTATAAAAATCGATTATCAAAATCTAGTAAGCTTAGTTTTCAAGCTTCTTGAAAAGTAGTTAAGGCTTATATGAAAGGAATAAAATTCTTTTAATGAAGTATTAGGATATTAAGAAAGCTTTTTTTAAAACTGATGACACATTTGGTTTAAAACGTTCTGGGACTTTATTTGTCAAGTTTAGTAGATGATCTCCAGCCAATTTTTTCTCTGATGCTACCAAAGCATTTGTTTTTATTTTCATTGTGGTAAACATACATTTAACTTAAAAACATCAAAATTTCTATGGAAAACCAAACATTGTTATGTAAAAGAAGTAAGTTATTTTTTTGGTCACCTTATCCATTTTTCAAGTCCATGTTATAGTCTTGATTTGTCCTAAAAGAATCAGCAAACTCAAAAATTTCGACTTCAATGAAAGACATCCAAGGTAAATTTCAATAAACCTGATAGTTTGTTGGATTGTCTGTAGTTATCTTTGTTTTTTTAAAAAAGTAAAACTTAACAGGAATTCAAAGCTTAAAAATGTCGGCCATGGAAAACTTTGTCGAAGAATCTTCAAAGGACAAAACTAGCCCCTGGGGTGGCTGGTGGTGAGTCTGTTGTGTACAAAATTCCTAATTGGGAGAGTATAATTGCGCAAAGAAAACAATGTAGTGCATTTTTATTCTATTTCTATGCATGGTTTTTATTATGGGATACGTTATCTTTATCTTGAATTAAAATAATTGAAGATTTTTTTCCCGATCTCATTTTTACCTTTCAGATTCATTCAAATTTGGCTGCCTGGCTCCCTAATTTCGTATCGGGAGCTCAGCTTTTAGGCAGTGCCTATAAATATATATATTATCTAATTAATTAGTAAGGGTTATTTACATGTACTTGTTCCAAGGTAATTAAGTGATTTTGATGACTAAATGCATAGCCAGAGGTCATCACTATCACTTATTTGCCAAGGAACGAGTAACTAACTGGCTGTATTCACATAACCAATCAAACAATTATATTGATGACCACAGACTAAGCATGTGTACTTTGCATGTGTCTAAAACTTTAAAGCAATCAAGAGATTATTTATCAGAGCATTGTTTATCATACATGTCCTATACACACAAAACGAGATGGGTCGTCATGAAGAATTGACGATCCGTCTAACTGGATGTCATTTCGTGAAAGATCACAGGAAACCCATTTCAGCGATCCTTAACTAGAGTTGGTCTAGCATTGGGCTTCCTGTGGTATCGACAATATGTCTTACCGGAAGTCATTTCGCTTATATGCAAATCAACAGGGATGCAACTTAACGTTTAAATTGGGTTTCCTGTGGTCAACGAGACCCCCTTTGAAATCATGACGGATTGTGACAGATTGTGACAATCCGTCACGGATTATCATGAGGTTTGACGATCTGTCTCACCGGATGTCATTTCCTGAAAATAAAAAACACAGAGAACCCAATATCGATACATTACAGAAGGTGTGAGCAGTATAGTGAATATGCGTTGTTCTATAAAGTTATACCATAACATGCGTCGTTTTATAAGTAACATATAAAGTATGAGTGGCCGTGTTGTATCAGATATACAACCACGAGGCGTAGCCGAGGTATTGTATATCTGATACAACACGGACACGAATACTGTATATGACTTATTAAACGTCTAGGTTAGTTCCTTTGTGTTTCACTAAAATTTTCAAAATTAAAGTGAATCTGGCCAAGAAAATCCAACTTAAAGTTTATGCAAATGAACACAGTTTTGTATCCGATTTACAACACTCTTCACGGTCCTGATTTCTGTTGTGTTTTCCTCATGAACTATTAATGAGTTTGATAAAGTCAAATACAGACTCATCCATCCTTATTATAACATGCTTTGTTCTATAAAGTCAAATACACTTTGATCAATCCTTTTTATAACATGCTTCGTTCTATAAAGTCAAATACACACTGATCCATGGATCGTTATTATAACTGTGTCGTTCTAGTAAAGTGAAATACAGACTCATCCATCCTTATTATAACATGCCTCGTTCTTTAAAGCAAAATACAGACTAATCCATCCTAATATAACATGCCTCGTTCTAGTAAAGTGAAATACGTGCACTCATCCATCCTTATTATAACATG